TCCTGTTTTTATCTCATCTTATTGTCCCTTTCGTTTGCTTTTAGTTCATGTTTCTCTACTAGTGTGTTGGTTTTAATGTCCTTATCTCTGCTTTGCTTGACCCACAAATTAAGCTCTTAGCTCGTGTGTTTGCTGCATTTGGTTTTACTTTGGAAAGTTTTAGAGTGTTAGTCTCATGTTTCCTCTTGTAACGTCAGTGTTGTGATTTCTTGGTTTTATGAAGAGGATTATTCCGGAAGAATTTATGAGAAGCACAGAGGGGGGAATTGAGCACAGGTTGGTGTGTAGTGCTTCTTGGGGCAATTCCTGGCAGTTCTGGCTCCAGCGAGAAAAGAAAGGTCTGGTTATTCTAAAAGAAGATTGGGATGATTTTGTGGATCAGAACCTTTTAGGTCCGAATGATGTCTTGTTCTTCGCACACGAGGAGATCATGTTTCTTCAAGTGCGGATCTTTAAGAAAGATGGGAAAGAGATCATCGAGGCGCCTGTTGAACATGAACCCGAAACTGAACCGTTTCACCTTACGCCCCAGAATGCTTACCAGGAGACAACCCCTGCATCTGCTTCTGGTAAGACCATTCATATCAAAAGAATCATCTTCACTTCACGTTTCTCAAACTCCACACCAAGGTTTGATTCTGTTTTTTTGGTTGAATTTTTCAGCAAGTGGAGGAACATGGTTGAATTTTTCAGCAAGTGGAGGAACAGATGGTCGAGCGAGACGGGGTTCTGGTTCTTGTGATGTCAATAACCCCGAGCGATATCTCCTGAATCCGAAAAACCCTTTCTTCGTGAAGACACTGACTAAAAAGAACGACGTTCTGGTAATAGAATAGCACAGTTGTGATTCTCTACTCATAAACTTCTTAGTTTTTTTTTGTATGTTGCAATGCTAAGACTTGTCTTTTTTTGCTTATGTCCCATGTATGTGCAAGTAGTATGTGCCCAAACCGACGATTTATAAGTATGGCTTGATGTTTGGTCCCACGAATTCCGCGATGAGTTACCTTCTTCCCGAAGGAAAAGAGGAGGGCTGGACTAAGATCTATGGCAATAGCCCTTGTTTCAATGGCTGGACGAATATATGTCGAAAGCACAATCTGAATATTGGAGACTCTGTTGTTTGTGAACTCGAACTCTCAGGAGGTGTCGTCGCCGCTGTTAGACTGCATTTCCCCAATAAATGAAGAGATGAGTTTTTACCAACTTGCTATTTTAATCCTAACTCAATTAATGTGACCTCTTTGTGTTGTTACTTGTTTGCCAAATTTCTTATTCTGCTTTTGGTTTGGTTCAGTTTGCAGAATATCTATTCTTGGGATAAGTTTCTTTTACTGTTTCTTCCTTAAACGACACTAGTCTAAAAACGAAATTGCAATCTTAGATTATATTAGAGATATTCGATTAATCTTAACAAGTTTGTAACGAGCTCTTCTTTTAATTATATAAGAGGTCTACATACATAAGGAAAACAGCGACGTTTCTTTTGCCTTTTCATACAAGAAAATACATATAAAACCCTACCTTGTAAATAAAGTAAACCTCTGTTTTTTCACCATCCCTTTTGAATAAAATTAAGAAAACACACCAAAAGACAATTTTGGAAGAAAATAAGAAAATCCCACACACTTCATTTCTTGTAATAAGTTTCATATATCTATGGCTTACGAACGCTTAAAAGCTTGACGTCGTCGATCACAGGCCCACACAAAGACGAGAAATCATCACTTCTCATTGCATAGAAAGTGCTGTAAAACATAACTCTGGTTCGGGTCGAAACCGCCACAAATCGGATTGAAGCTCGTTTAAACCCTCCGGTTCCACGTGACTCGTAAGGGACCTTAAGTGTCTCTTTTCCTGCAAAAGCCTCAACTACCATTGATCCTTTACAAGCGTTGTTAGCATCTCCAACCGCAAAAGACAGGACGTAAGTCTTCCCAATGATGGTCCGAGCCACTTGAGCGATCGCGCTCTCTTTTCCGGCTACAAGCTCAATGGCTCGGCGACCTTGTGGGACTGAGAAGTGTTCCGTGTCTACGTATTTGACGGCTTTGAGAGACTCGACCATCCAACCGGGTAAAGGAGAGTGGTCGTCTTCTATGAATGGTGGGATCAGAACTCCTGTGGTTGCGCCGGGTAGTACTAATGGACCTTCTTCAAATCCTCCGTTTTTCAAAATGTTTTCTATAAAATTAAACCATGAAACAAGAAAAAATCAAACAAAGAAAATTCCGTTGATCACTTGGCTTTTTGAACTATTAAAACTACAAGTATTTGATTTAACATAAACCAAACTAAATCTTAACATGTTTTAAAGTACTACTATTCAAAACAGAGTAATTAATACACAGTAATAAACACTTACTGTTGGTTGGTCGAGGAGGGTAAAGAGATCTCATTGCAACACCATCAATGAGTGGTCCACAAGCTGGATCTTCTTCTTCACCTGGATTATGTATCACAACTTCTGCAACCTCACTCTCTGCCTGAAACGCCCAAGCATAAAGATCCCAACCACTGCTACTATACACAGTCTGCACCGGAATCACTCCCGAGTCAGGAGCCACCGATATGTTGAGCCGTTCGTCTTGAGCACAAGTCCTAGCTGCACTGAAAGTGAGTGAGTAATACATTCCTTTGACCACTTTGAGTCTTTGTTTGATCGATGCTTCGTTCCCTAGCCTGACCGCGAATTTACCGGCGGGAACAACGAGAAGCATGTCTCCTTGTTTGTGTCCTGAGGTTATGTACTCGACGAAACCTGAGACTTCCCAGTTTGGGATTGCTAATTTGTTCACCACTTCGGTTCCTTTCAAGTCTGATGGTTTTGGTCCTAGCTCGAAGTCCCCGTTCGGTAACAGTCCTGTTAAAAAGACCGAATTACCCTTATGAGTGATTAGGAATTTATTTTAAGTTAAAGAGAAGATATATATGCACGTGAGGTGTGTCCGAGAGACAGCCTAACTTGGGCCTGTGTACACATGAATTAGCTTTTATGAATGGACCCACTCAAACCTTCATTTGATTGGAAATGTCCAAAAAACTTTATTGCTGTGTGTTTATTTGTTGTCAGGAGCAGGGTTAAAATTGTAAAATTTTACATCACCCTTCAAAAAAATCAAACTCGTAACAAAAACGAAATTATTTCATTTTTATTCGATTTTAAGTACAATAGTCTATATAGCTAGCAGAGGCAAGTACGAGTAGTAAAATCATCATTACTAATTCTGACAAATAATGACAATTTCTAACTACCAACGTGATACTGGTAACTTTGCCTTTAGA